GGCTCGCTCGTGACACAGACAAAACAAAAACACACAGCATGTGCGGTTAGGCCAGAATGACAGCATTCCCTGCTCAATGCAGTTTCAGGCTGAGAATCTGCGGCTTACTATGTCTGGAATCTGCATTTTGTGAATGAGTGAAGATGCCAATACAGAGCCTTGTTTTTCTTCAGTGGATGATTTATTAAACCCTGTCATTAGTTCTGACCTGTCATGAGAAAACAGCACGTTTCAAATATTCAGACCGATTTATTAATTATAATGATGGTTACAACATTTTTTTTGTTCATAAACTGCTCCAGATTTAGTATAAAGACATGCACTTGTACCCTTGTTATGACGGCAGGAATTCAAAGTTTCACATTTTTGTTTATAATTTCATATTTTCATTCATGGTTCTTTATTCACAGTGCAGATAACATTATTTTTGTATTTGCAATTCCCGTTTAAATGCATTTATTATATTGTGTAAATGCGTTTTTGACTCTATATGCCTTATTTTTATAGGCAGGTTTGTAATTGATTATTATAATTTTTTGTACCTGAATAAAACACGTGTTGGTGTTGTTAACTAAGACTATTAAAAATATTTTCCACTGACTGAAATAAGCCAAAATAAAATAAAATGTAAATATTAGATGAAAAATAAAAAATGCATGCAACTAAAACAACTTTATTTACTAAAAATAAAGCTAAACAGAAATACAAAGGAACTAAAATAAAAGCTAATATAAAATATTATTACATACTATAATAGAACACTATAACAATAACACTGAATAAAGTATTGAATCTCCCATAGATTTTTTATTTTTTTTTAATTGCAGGCACCACCAGACGACGACATGCTTCAAGTGAACTCAATCAAGACTCCAGTGAACAATGCAGAGTAACAGTTTGCATATTTTATTGTTTTTGGTGCTTCAAATCTAATATTCTTGCACTCTGGATGCTTTCTTCCTCTCACACATTCTCTTCTGATCTCATATGGCTTTGGCTTCCCACATTTCTCTCACGGTGAGATTTGAATTGTGACATTCAATAATAACACAAGGCACTAGTTTCACACAAAACATTAAACGCATACTGACATCTGAAAGAGAGACCGCTGTAAGCACATCATCAGTTCCTCTCCTGACCTTTAAAAAACCCAATTAACCCACCCTGCTTCCTGCACATTAAAGCAAATATGAATACACATCATGCTATTTACAGAGCACGTCTACTTTAAGCTCCAGAAATACACAAATACGTTTCCCTTCCAGTGCCTATGAAACTAAAATGCACAGAAAAATCGGAATAGACACACAAACATTCATTTCTGTTGCTTTATAAAAATCTCGTTAAATCTGCCTGAAATGTTTTAGCTTCGGGATAACACTTAACGTAGTGAACCGAAGGTTTATAAAGCTCCATTAGCAGTGTCTTTGGTGGCAGCTGAAAAGCTCCTGTTGATTGTTTCCCAAGTTTCCGAAAGACAGAAAAGCAGACACTATTATACAACAATCATCACTCTTTCTCTTTGGTGAACAGACGGCCACAGAGGTAGTCCATCAATCACAGCCATGTGTGTGCAGTCCAATAAATATCTATAAAAAGCCATTGCATTCGCTTCGCAGGCAGACATCTATACTCGAATACTCATATTTTGAGACAGCCGATCATCGGAAGAGACAATACTGATCTGATGCTGCTTCCACAGCCATCAGCCTAATGTCTCTCATACAACAAAAAACGGAAAAGCTGTGAGTTTAAATGAGGGAAACGGCAGGGTTTGCTGTAGCGTGCTGAAATGTGAAGAGTCCCGTGACAGTCCCGTGATGCTCTGTTATTGAGTTAGGGTTCCTGCGGGACGTGACCGTTGGTCAGCGGCTGGTTTAGAGCTTGATTCTCAACAGGAGCGTGTCCGTTCGCTTTCCCTCCGGCCTTCGTCTGAAGAAGCTGTCTGCGATGGTAGAACAAATACCCCGGCAACAGGAAACCGGCCAATGAGAGGACCAAAAGCCCCACATTGATCTGATGGGATAAATTTAGCATCTTATTAGTCATTGAAAATACCCATAAACAGAAGCCTACATAGGCAGCTATATCTTTGGCTAATGGCTACTACATTTGTGACCCTGGAGCACAAAACCAGTCAGTTTGTAGCAATAGCCAACAATACACTGTATGTGTCAAAATGATAAATGTTTCTTTTATGCCAAAAATCATTAGGATATTAAGTAAAGATCATGTTCCATGAAGATATTTTGTAAATCACCTACCGTAAATATATCAAAACTTAATTTTTGATTAGTAATATGCATTGCTAAGAACTTAATTTGGACAACTTTAAAGGTGATTTTCTAAATTTGTTTTGCACCCTCAGATTCCAGATTTTCAAATAGTTCCAAATATGGTCCTATCATAACAAACCATACATCAATGAATTGAACAAAGTTCAATAACAAAAACTGACTCTTATGACTGGTTTTGTGGTCCAGGGTCACATTTGGTTTCA